CATTCAGGGGCAGCCCCATCCTTTCTGCTCTGGTCACACCCATTTCACAGTTGAGGAAACAGACTGCCTTGGCCGACCACTCCGTGAGGGAGACAGTGCTGTGTGCTTGGGCACGTGGTCTCCTTTTCTGTCCCCCATGCCATCTGGCCTGTGCAGAAGAAACTGGAAGGATGTGGAGGCTAGCATCCTGACTTTGGCATCTTCCTAGCTGGGTGACCTGAGCAAAGTCCCCACCTTCACTTTGCTCGCCTGTCCTGTCGAAAAGCAAGCACAGCAATCCGTCCCTTGTGAGGTGGCCTGAGGGTTAAAGGCACAGAAACTGCAAAGCGGAAAGGGGGCCCGGTGGGTGACAAGCACTCCCCGCATGGTGCCCGGCTCCCAGGAGGTGCTCAGTAAGTACTGGGACAGCAGAGCAGGGCCTGTATTATAAAAAATAGAGCAGGGACTGAAATGCCCAACTTCAGAGGAACGGTATGTTTGCATGGTGGAAAGAAACAAGAAAAGCCCTCCTGACGGAGGTTACCAGGCCCCACAGTTTTTTCTGAGATATCGGGGGGCCCAGCCTCCTGCCCGGGAGGCAGGCACGGCACACAGATGATCAGTGGCCTTCCCTTTCACCTCTTTCCCAAGCACTCTCCTCCCTCTGGCAAGTGCACATGCGAGGGTCCTTCTGTCTGCTCTGCTGCCATTCCTTCTCTTTGGGGAATTCCCACTGTGTTATTTCCCAATTACCTCCTCCTGGAAGCCTTCCCTTCCTGCCTCTGCCAGTCTGGGCTCTCAACAACCCTACCTGAGAGACAGCTGTGATCTCATTTAACAGACAAGGCAGCTGAGACTCCAGGAATACGAGAGCACGCCCAGCTCCCTGAGTCCTTCCGGTGAGTGACAGCTGACGGCTGACCACCACTGTCTGTCTCTCTGAGCCTGAAGCTTTTCGTCCTGGAACTGCAGAAAGTCTGTGCATGTGGTGAGACAGAGTGCCGGGGAGTTGACACTCCGCCCTGCCTTTAGTCTACCCCAGCTCCCCTGCTGTTTGAGCAGGATAATTCTGGGGCTTCACTTTAGCACCATTTAGAAAATAGCCTTATTTTAAAAAATCAAGAAATAGCATACATAAAGCACCTAGCAGGCACTGATTCTATGTAACCTGAAATTGTCACAGACCTGGATCAATATACAGCACCTTCCTGCACCCCTATGTGCTGCCTTAAGCTCCTCCTGAGTCTCGACCTGCCTCCAGAGGTAGCCAGGGTTCCGACTCCTAGTTTTAAGGCTTGTGTCTTCAAACTTTACCAGGAATTTTCCGCAGGAAATTGTCTGCCAGGGTAGCAGCTGGTTTAAGGCACCCATTACTGGCTGACTCCCTGTCCCATTTTACATTCTGCTCCCCTTCAGTGTTTCCTGGAATCACCTCTTAAATCAACTCCCTGCACCCGAATCTTGGTGTCTGCTGGTAGGGACCCAGCTAACACCAGGAAGGTGCCCGAGTTACACAGCTGGAGGGTGAGGCCAGGATCCGGGCTGGAGCTGCCTGACCCAGAACCCTGCTCCTTCTGAGAGAGCGGCTGGTCGGTGCCCTTGCTGTAGCCAGGGCAGCCTGGCGGTGGGCCCGCCAAGTCCAGCCAACCTTAAGCTACTTACCATATTCCAGGCCCTTGTCAGTGATCCTGGCGACCAGGCCGGGGTTGGCACCCAGAGCCCCTGGGGTGGATGCAAGCAGAAACCCCAGCAGTATGGACAGCAGGGCCCTGGCCAAGGCCCCCATCCTGGATCCCCAGGGGCTGAGCCAGAACAGTTAGCTATGGGCTGGGCCCAGCCAGCTTAAGTACCAGGGCCAAGGGCAAGGGGTGGTTCCCCAGGAAGGGCAGGTTCCCGGAATGGGAAGGGGAGGCTCCAGGACTGGAACGCGCTTGCGACACCGTTGGGGTCACAGGTCGTACTTGTCACTGCCTGGTCTGCAGGTGTGTTGGTCTGGTCACAAATGATCATCCTGCCCTGCCCACTGCCACAAAAAAGACCCCACATGCCTGGCCAGAGCTGTTTGCCTTCTCCCAACCTGTCTCTAAAGAGCTCAGTAGGAAGGCTTGGTTTCACAGACAAGGACGCGGAGGCTCAGGCGGGCCGTATGTCACTCTCTCAAGATCACATCCCACAAGTGGCAACGCTGGGAGGAGAGCCAGGTCTGGCACCATCAAACCCTCTCTGCTTTATACTCGATTCTGTGTATTTAGAAAAGAAATCTGTTCTGCCCCTCTCCTGTTGGAAAATAGGCTTTTTCAAACCTCGCTAGTGGTCAGATTTTCTGGAGGGCAACCTGGCACACAACTGCATGCCTTGGGGCCCAGAAATTCTGTATCGGGAACTTGTCCCAAGAACATAATTAAGTCAGTGCGCAAATACATCACCGGAGGAAGGTGCCCGTTGCTGTGCCGTGTGAAGTACCATGGGAGAAACGAGGCCCGAGCTGAAGCGTCCAACAAAAGGACATTGGATAATGCCCAATGTGACATAGCCATTCAGAAGGAGGCTGTGGAGGGCCTGCCTCATAGCATGATGGTTAAGGGAGGCCAGATGGCGCACGCCGATTGAGGTTCGAATCCCAGCCCCCGTGATGTAAAAACATGCCAGGCATGTGTGTGAGCATGCCCACATCTCAACAGGATGAAGAAATGGAGAACGGATTGTGGCATAATCACATCCCATTGGGGGACGCTTTCTCCTTCCCCCCCTCTGTCTCGCTGCCTCTCTCTGGCGAGCACACATACCCTCTGGCAACTTAAAAATAAATAAATAGAGGGGGAGGGTGACTGGGCTGGTGGTGGCAGTAAGAGGCCTACTCAGGGTCCCAGTTTCAGGGAAGAGGAGAATGTGACCCGTGCAGGGGAAATGGCTGCCAAAAACAAGCCTGAAGGTAGGTCAGTTTTCTAGGGCACCATTGGCAAAGGTCTACTCCTTTGTTCAAAATACGTTTCCATGTTTGTCAATCTGGAAAATGTTTAGCTAGGAATTACGAGGGGTTGTCTCTGGTTAGACATGTTGGACAATGGATGCTTTTTAAAAATCTTTTTCCTCAGGGCCAGCTGGTGGTGTGGTGGTTAAGGCACTGGACATTCCCACATGGCCAAGCATGGTTCAAGTCCTGGATCTGGTGGCTTGTTTTCTAACTTTCCCTCTCTTTCTCTCTGTGTCTTTCTCTGATCAAATTAAAATAAATGAATGAATGAATAAAATGAAATAAATAATTTAAAAAAATCTTTTTCCTTGTTGGCATTTAAGGTTTTTATTCTTTTTTTTTTTTTTTTAATTTAAGCAAGTTATTTGCTATAGGGCATGCACACTTGCCAGAGAGAAGGAGAGAGACAGAGAGACAGAAAACATGAAATCGCCCACCCTCCTCCCGGGGAGGATGATTCAATCGCTAAAATTCCCTCTCCTCCATTCTCTTCTCAGAATTTTGGGCATGTACACACATGCACCCAGCATAAGTTTTAAGTTTAAGTCCTGGACCACTGGGTCCAGGACTTGAACCACAGTTGACTATATGGCAGTCCAGTGATGTAACCATTATGCCAGCTGTTGGTCCCAACATTTAAGTTTTTTATTTTCTTGGGATGTGTTCCTGGACATACAATGTGTTTACAATTGATATGGATATTAAAATTTCATTTTTTTTCATTTTTTGTTTCTTTTTTAGAAAGACAGAGAGAGACAGAGAGATAGAAAGCGAGAAATCACCCCCCCCCAGGGGGGGATGGCCACGCCACAATCCCTTCTCTTCCATTCTCCTCTTGGGATCTTGGGCACGCACGCACACACGCCCGGTGTGAGCTTTAAGCCACCAGGTCCAGGACTCGAACCGCGGTCGACTACATGGGAATCCAGCGACATAGCCATTACACTAACTGCTGGTCCCCATACAATTTCATTTTGGAAAACAAAATTTATAGTAGGAATTGTGCTTACTTTTCAGAATTTTGCCCCAGCACTCTTTGTTTGTGAGCTTTGTACTGCCCTTACCTTCAGGAAGCCTTCCCTGACCACTCCCTTGAATCCCTGGACTGGAGAAGAATCCTCCTTTGAGGTCCCAGAGTTCCATTCACTTTCTCCAGCATAGTATTACCCACATTCTGTTTTTTGTCAATGGGGCCCTTTAAATATGTCCACAAAGTCTTTGGTATTCCTCCTATCACAAAGTGGACTCCCTGTTGCCCTACCTTGAAATAGGATGGGTCTTTGTGACTGCTTCAATGAACTGAATGTGGTGGGAGTAAGGGAGTGACTTCCCAGCGAGTCACAAGAGACTCTGGGGAGTACTGAGATCAAGTACAGGAACCTCCACGGCCAGAGCCATTCTGCTCCTCTGTGCCATGCTGCTCTTGCCGCCGGGCTGAGGTTGTTGGGGTTCCTCCCCCACCCCACCAGCCTGGTTACTCCATGAGGGCTGGACTGAGGCTTCTGTATCTGTGATCCTTGCAGCACCGGCAGAACTGGAAGGATGCTGGTATTTACTGAGCAGCTACTACATGCTGGGCATCATGCTGGCTAGGCTTCACTTCACTCGCCTTTGCAGCAACACTCAGAGTGAGATTCTAGTCGCATATTGAGATGAAGAAACTGAGGCATAAAGTGATAGAGGCCACAGTCTCCTAGCAGGGATTTGAGCCCTGGTCTGTGGGTGCCATTCCAAAACAATGGTCGGGGAAGGTCTGTCCAAAGGACAACATGCCTAGCTGAAACCCTTAGGGTGCGGAATTGGCCTTTGGAAGAGTCTACCCGGCAGATAGCAAAAACAGGGGGCTGGAGCAGGAAATGGCTCATGGGTACGCCTCTGGTGCACACAGGTGCCTCTGCTTCTTGGATCTCAGCCTTCTAGGTGAGGATGGGTCCAGGCTGGTCAGAAAACCAGCTTCTCAACTGCCCAGCTCCTGCCTGGCCTTATGTCTTAGTCTGTCATTGTGTCACTTACAGAAGTACCAGAGACTGAGTGATTTATAAAGAACAGAGGTTTATGTGATTCACGATGCTGCTGGCTGGAAAGTGCAGATGGATGAGGATGGCATCAGGCTGGCTATGTTCCAACATGGCTGACAGAAGCAGAGAGGATGGCAGGTATGTGCAGAGAGAGCCTGGTCTGTGTTTCCTGTGGTCCCTACCGCCCTCGTGTCCTCTCCCTAAAACATGCCAGGACTCGGTCATGGAGACTTGCCCTAACCCCCCATCGCTAATATCTTTCTAAAAGCTCACCTTTTAACACAGTAATCAGACCAAGTTTTTATTCTCTTAATCCCATTATGAAGGCCCAGCACATGAGTTTGGGGAGGACACATTCAAACTATAGCATCTCATGAACGTGGCCAAGTCTTTTCTCCTCCGTGGGCCTCAGTTCTCCCTCAAGAGATTTTTACAGGCTCCTCCAGCTTGGAGAATGAGGGAAGACAGTCTGGAGAGTGGGGCTCTTGTGGGGACAGGGCATCACTCTTCCTCTGGGGACAGTTTGAGGATGTTCCTGGCTGGGGGCCATTTGCAGAGGTAGAAGTTGCCCACAGCAGCAGACTTTGCACCTTAGAGCCGCCTAGCCAGCACACCGCGTGGCCAGGCTTCCACCCCCACAGGCTCCTGTTGATGACCTAGGACCCGGCAGAGGCCCCGGGGAGCAATGGGACCCTCGTGCTGGTCAGAACCCCAGGCCTTTCTTTGTCCTGGTCTTCCCTCCGCTTCCATGGACGTGGTAGCTGCCACCCTTCCTGCCACTGCTCTGTCCTACAGCAGTGACAATCCTATCCTTTAACATAGATGGCATTCACTATGTCCTCTCTATAAAAGTGCTAGTTGCAGGCTTTTGGAAAACCCAGAATTTGAAATCCAGTGTCTGGAATACTGAGCAGTGCATACCAGATTGTTGCTGAAGGGATTGTGTTTAACTACACAAACTCTGGGGCCAGATGACCTAGGTTTGAGTCTTGCTCCACCCCCTCCCCCCCCACACACACACCATATTTGGTGACCTTCCTCATCTATAGTCAGGCTCAGCCAAAGGGGAGCATAACAGGAGGTCAGAGGTCAGGACTCTTCTCCCTGGATCACAGTCCTGGTGGTGGTTGTGTCTGTCCCTCCTGGTCACCCCCTGCCCATGGCTCTGTCATCAAGCTGGGTGACTCTGACTCCTTTCTTTGAAGCTTCAAGCCTAGGGGTGCTGGTTTCCTTAAGTGTGTCTCTCAATTCTATAAATAGTCCCTTCATTTGAATCCCAAGGACCATAGACCTTGGATTCTGGTTCCCTGCCTGGACCCTGATTAATGCAATTAAGAACCTCGAGCATTTCTTCTGCATGAACTGGTCTCCTGCAGCAAATGCCTGCTTCCCACAGAGAGCTTCGGGTTCTTTTCCGAGGTCTGGACAGGACTTCTCAGGGGAGGGGGGGGCAGAGGACTGCTTGAGACAGAACCAAAACTACAAAGCAAGCCATGCTCGACCTGGTCTTCAGGGCCACCAAGGAAGCCTTGAATCATGAGGGTCACGAGCAGTTTTCCTGGGGAGGGAGGGCAGAGCTGCCCCAGAAAGGGGAACAACACGTGCTGAAACAAAATGCAGAGTGATTGAACATGAAGGGTGGGAGCGAGGAAGCCTGAGTCCTTGTCATGACTCTGCTCCCATGGGCTGTGGGACAGGGGCACACTCTGTCCCCCTTGGCTCCTCACCTAGGGCTGGGGACCAGGACTGCCTCTGAAAAACTGTGACTTGGAGGCAGATCACCCAGAGATCCTGTTTAAGTGCCAGTTCTGACTCACAAGTTCCTTGGGGGCTAAGACG